TGCCTACTAATGCGCCAACTGCCATGCGTTCTTACTCATGTTACAAAGTTAGCGTTGAAAGATGCAGGTTTTAGCGTCCTCAAATAAAAAGCATATCTTGCCACTGAGCAATACAGGGTTCTGATTGAGATGGTGAGATTGAGGCCTAATTAGAAGTTCACGTTCCTGGCGATTCAATGACATGTTTACATCATTTGGGAAGGCTGTTCTGCAACACTGGTTTCGAGAAAGTTTTTAGGATTAGTTATTAAGGAGTCTTGAGAAATTGAAATCAAACTCCAAAGTTGGGACACTTTTCATGGTGGTAGCTGCTGGTAGCATAAACACAACCATGGAGATGCTAATCACCATCAATAACTGGATTCCCATCTTTTATGTGTGAAAGTAAGTTTATTAGAGAGGTATGAATCCAAGAAATCTGTATGTGAACAAATAGTAGTATAAACCAACAAAAACCAAGCACATTCCAAAGGGCCTTTGTCAGACTTGTTTATCATCAGGCTAAATCAAAACGGTATCTTTGAATAGTTGTGAATTACCGTTTGAGCCCTCCAATAAAACAATGCAAGAATGTATAGGAGGCGACATCCCACATGTGGAGATTGACCCACAAGTCTGACTTGGTGTCTATGCTGAATCCGTTATCTTTTTCAATCCAAGAGTGAAGCGAGCCTGGACAGACAATGGGCATCTCTCTCTCTCCCTTTAACTTTGGTTTCTTTTTCTCTTGAGTGGGCTCTCAACCAAACTACAAACCCTTTTGGAAAATCTACTTTTTAGACTATACTAGACTAGGTGTTGGTTGATAAATATAGGTTAGCAAGAAAGCTAATTATACAAACACTTGTAAATTTAATACTAGTATAAGATTATACTAATCATTAATTTGTACAAGGTAAGTTGATTTCAGTACTCATGCTATATAATGAGAATGCTAAGGGTGAAATTCCATAAACTTTGGATTATTTGTTTTCTATTCAATCAAGTGTAAATTTTGAGTGTAAGGATGAGCAAATGATGTAACAAAACTGACCAAGATTTCAGGGTCAAGAGAAAGATGACCAATCATTGAGAGATCAAACAATAAAAATAATGTGACATGATATTTTATTCTTCTCCTAGCAAGTTAACTACTTTTAGGCACAGCCTAAAGAATATAATGGCAAAGAAAATTCCAAAAAAAAAAAAGGAAAACACTATCATTTAATTATCAAAATAGATACATACCGAAAGGGAGAAAATACAACATTAAAAAAAAATTGAAAGAAATCAAATGATTAGAAGTTAAAAAGGCAAAGATTAGATGGTGACAACTCTAGAGGAGCATCCAAATCAAGAGTCAAAGAGGAGTACCAAACCCCACACATTGAAGAAAAGATAATGTTTTCACGGTTGTAAGGACTAAGTGTGGTGGGAGGTGGGGGAAAGAGATAGACAGAGAAAAAGGGTTATTAACAAAAGTGATTGTCATCTTTGTCATTTAAATTTTGTTATTGGTCCCCCCTTCCCCTCCTAAAAAATATTCCACTGCAATTCAAGAACCATTCCCCTGTACATTCTCGTAGGTTATTGTACATAAATAAAACGTGGGTACACAGTGAATCACTGTACAGACACTGTTCAAAAGCAAACCGATAGTACAAGAACCTATCTGTTAACCACATTCCTTCCTCTCAAGAACAATGTTGGAGGGGACAGACAGTCAGATGCTTCTTGCAGTTCTTTCATGTCATCATATAGCTGTTAATTTTTTTCTTTTTAATTCTCTGCTACAGACTTGCTAATTTGCAATTGCTTAATGCTGATTTTAACACTGTAGCAACTTGTGTAAAAAGGGGTGTTGTCAGCTGTGCTAGCTCATCTCTCTGCAATTCCTCTTTGTCATGACTCAAAGATCTGGCATTGAAGCATGTCTCGCTTTCTTGTTCTCCAGTCCTCACTTAATTTTACCGTTTGTTGTGTATAACAAAAGGGTGACTTCATTGGCTTTGCAATAGCTCAAGGGGGGAGACCAAGTCCCCTGCAAGCCCCCAGATCTCAAATTCTAACCCGTCGAAGAGTTGCTTGCAGACTCTTACATTATTCTCTTAGTATGCAGTAATTTGGACCATGTAATGTAAAATGGATGTGATCGCAGATACAGTGGCGAAACTCCTTGGCACGTAGCATGACCATTGGCCCATGTACATGATATTTGTGCAGAAAAAGATGATTAATCATTTAGTTTCCCAGAACAAAGGGAAGAGGACATACGGAAAAGAAGCCACGTGGTCCTCGTCAGTCCATATCGCCAATGATCAACATGCTCTCACATGTCAATTTGAGCGTGACCAGGAAAACCCTTCTGTATTGTCTTTACAATTCAAGTTGCTGTTAATTGTCTGGTTAAATATTCACCCAATAAGACTTTTCTCTTTCATTTTTTTAAAAGAAAAAATTATTTTATTGTTTTGTTTTGAAGCAGAGACAGATTCTGACAGGCAAAGTTGGACTGCAGACATGTTTTGATACTCAGTTCGATCCTATCACAGGCAACTTCTGATAGTGAGATATTAACATTATGGGTTAGAGTCAGAACTCAGAGCTAATCGCCCACAAATATCATGCTTTTTGGCTAAGTATGGGGAGGAACAGAATAAAAACAACTCCAAAACACAGGAATGGACAAAGCTAAAGTAAAAGAGAGCAAGTGGAATAACTTTGGCTTAAAGATTTGTGCCAGTGTACAGTTAGAGTTAAAAAAGAGATCTTGGTTGGATTTAGCTGGCCTACCTGTTAATATGTTCCTAATGAGGCCAAATGCCAGAAAGCTTTTCTGAAATGGCAGTCCCATGCCTGTTTTGCTTTTGGGTTTTCAGTTTCACCCCTAAAGTTGGCTTTCCATTTATCTACCAGTACTCAACTCTATCTCCTTTGGTTTTCACACACTCCTTCTAGTCTCTCAAGCAGCCGAGCTAAGTATAGGCTGAAACTTCATGACAAAAGTTAGCAAATTAACTCAAACACCACTGTATCCCTATTCCAATTGCAGACCATTTAAATTTGATTTTATCATTTCCAAAAGGTACAAATATTAAAAGCATGGGTTGCTGAGTTACTGAGATTGCAATAAAAGATGCCATGGAACATAATGAACCACAGACAAGGAGGCCAGTTATGACATATATAAAAGAGCAGTAAGCATATGTATATTGAAGATTCTTGTGATTCCCGTTGGGGACTCCATGGCATGGACACAACGACAAAACATGAGACAAATGCGGTGGTGACTGCTGAGATTGAGCTCGGCTCGGTCGGGTGGGTGGGGTTGCCCCCCCACATATGGGTGGGCCAATGGTTGTCTTGGCTTGTATAGGGCATTTTTGTCAGAGAGGATTGGCAGTAAGGCCTGGGAGCTGCATGGCGTGGCATCAGACCCTCTCCACTCATGTTGGGATCCGCAAATATTTTGCCATATTCTCATGCCCTCTCTGGCTCTCCCGATGCAAACCCACAATCACTTGCCTGGTTGGTCATGCCTCGCTCGTTAACCAGACACCCCTGTCTCCGCTATAGCTAAGCTCCTCTTTTCCTCCTCTCCTCCCTCACTCTCTCTCTCTCTTTCTTCAGCTATTAAGCATCCGAAATTCCAATACATAATCATCGCCTCAGTTTTTGGGTCCTGCTCCACTCCATTACTTTTTAATATAATTTTTTAATTATCATCATATACATGATACTCTCGATTTATAACTGCTATATATGTAAATAATGATTAAAAATATTAAATAAAAAGACCAATCTCTCATTTTCATGGTGTTTTAATACTAATCACCCATATTAGAAGTTTAACTTAATAGATTATTCAAACACTAAAGAATGAAGAGATATTGTTTTGACTTCCTATCCTTTTTCATGCATTAACAAATAGATATTGATAAATATCTATAATGTGTCAATGAATATGAATCATGTGGGTTGATTTCAATTGAATAATAATAATAATGTATGTTTGAGATCATCATTGACTCAACTTATTAATACAATAATCTCAACGTACATTAACTTCACCAAGAAATTAATCAACTTGATTAGAGAGGGGGTAGACGATCATAATACAAAAGTGATTGAAGAACATTATTAATTTTCAGATTTAGAGAAGAGAGGGTGATAGATATTGGAATGGACCTGAAAACTTTGTCTCCAAATCATTCGATAAGGCCATTTGATGTGTTAGTGGCACTCCCATTTGAGATGGTAAAATGACACCATGATGTGTCAAAGACACCAAATGTCAACCCCACTAGCCATGACTATAACCCCTCCTTAATTGCCATTGATTTGTTGGGTTCTTGATTGCCTAGCTTTGTTTTGTGGGCTTCCCAAGGGTTTGATTGGTGGAACCAAATGACCCCACTTATTGTATAAAGACATTGCAGCACCATGGCTCTTTTTTTGCACTTTTTGGCCCATTGCTTGATAATTGAGAATCCCTAGTTTTTCTTTTGCTTTGAAATGAAATGCTATTTACACTTCCAAGTTCACTAGTACATGTGAGAAAGGTACAGGGGACAAGGGTTGAACTCCAAATCTTGATTCTTCTGGGCAACATAGTATAACCATTGGGTTAAAACATAATACTATCAAGTTCAATTGTGACTACTTAAATAGAAATGCTTGCTTGTCATAATATATGGTCCCAAAATTACACAATTTGTGGTTAAAAACATTGATTATATATATATATATATATATATATATGAATGCTCTGACTTCTTTTT